TGAACCACGATCTAATCCTGCAGTAAAATGTTTCACTGAGCTAGTTCAGAAACCAGTTATTCTACAGTGGGAAATAATTCTGTGCACTGGTGGAGTACCACGAGTGGGACAAGAACCAAATACCACAATAAGGAAACCGAACCATTCACAAGGGGACATGTAAAAACGCAGCCGCTGATGTCGAACTAAGCTGCACCCAACCATACCCAAGTATCACTTCTCACATCCTTCAGTTACCAGTGCATGTCTATAACCTTACTGGCATCTTTCTCATTCAAACAATCTGGTTTTCAATTAAAGCTCTGGAACAAAAGAAGGAAAACACATGCTTGGGTCCTTCCTCGGATCAAAGAGTTGTGGCTAGAAAATATATTGTCTCCCATTGTAAAAAAAAAAAAAGGGGGGGGGGGCAATTACCTGCAAAAATTTTAATGTTTGGCAAACACAAGAAACAAACAGAAATGATTTTAAAAATCCATAGTCTTTGCATAGAGTTCTTCCCAGGATTTCCCAACTATTCCTTAACATATAATCCTCTTAAAAACACAAGGCTCAGTGCCATGGTCCCTTTGACTCATTAGCATATTCTGAAAGCTACCCACTGACCACCTGTAAAGGTTTCATCAAACTGTTTAAAAACTGTAGTGAACAAGTTTCCAACAGATCAAGTGTACATTATTATCATTAATGATCATACATGGTCACAAAGAAGTGATTAGTTCTCTCCAGATACAAAACAGGGCAGGGAATTTCAAACAAGTAAAAATGCAAACTGGCTTGCTTGTCTCTACCCAAGGGAAAACAGTGAGTGAGGACTCAGGAAGTGTCAAGTAAGAGTCTACTATACAAATATTGAACCATGATGTTGTACACCTAAAACTAATATATGTCAAGGACACCTCAATACATTTTTTTTTAATTTAAAAAGAGAAGTGTATGAATTGGTCAAGATAGGCAGGCAGCTAGATGACCCACTGCTGAAATCTCTCAATTCCTCCAGACCTCTCCACACTAAAAGAAAAACAAAAGGCCATTCACACTTATTTTTTAAAACAACAAATTTGGAGCCTGCTTTCTTTTGTTTCTTTTAGTTATGTTTTTCTTTAAAGGATTTACACAATATCATCTTCCAAAACTCTGCGTGGCAACTTTAAACACAGGCAGCAAAGGAGGGGAGAGTGCGCCCTGACAAACGAAGGGTCATTATTAATTCTTCGAGCACAATAGCTGCATGTGTGTGCACGTGTGCATGTGAACATGTGCTTGCATGCAAGTGCACTTGTGCCATTTGTTCATTTTTAGTTTAGGCATTCAAACAATCAAGTAAGGCATTGTATTCAGATATGCAAGCTTATGTCTAAAGGAGGTAAATTAACATAAACACTACTACTCTTATAAGTTATATACCATTTTGCATAAATTTGAGATACACAAATAAATTAAGTTTTTATATTTTGGTACCAGAGGTAAGTATTAGATTACAAAAACAAACATTTATGCAAAATCATTCATGTGAAGTTAAAGAGTTCAGGCTTTTAATAAAGCGTTTTGTTACCTTAAAAGAGTTTATAGCAAATGTTAGCAATGCCTGCATCATTTCTTCAAAATAGTGTACTGCCGTAAGAACAAAATGTAGAATAATAAGTCACTACCCAAAGAAAAGAGTGCTTCAGTATTTTTTTCTTTCTCTGCAATAAAATAAAACCTCACTAAGTGAACAGTTTACCAAAAAGAAATAGGTCATCTGCAGTTAATAATTCTTTCCCGTAAAATTAGTGTCACTTATTTCTGTAGCAGACGCCTAATTCAGTCACAGACTTGATTGATTTGACAATAGAGAATCTGGTCCAATAAAGTGGCTGATTTATTTCCGATGCTATAGCTTTTACCCTAATGTGACATCAGAGCAGAATGAAATCTTTGACAAGTAAAAAAATCCTTTACAGTTTTTCATGAAAATCAAAGCTTCTGAAAGTGGATACTGGATTGTTGTCCAAAACTTAAAGTCTAATATCTTCTTCTGGTAGAACGAAAACTTCCACAAACACTATAACACAGAATATGGATTTGGACACAAAGAGTAGTTTAGAATATACTATATATACTGTAAATTCAAATTGCTGGCTATGCAAATAGGTCTTATTTCATCTTTGTCTTCGTTTGTAAACTGGTTGTCTTTAATTTTTTGAAAACAATCTAGCTTCTCTTTGTAAAGGTACAGCAAAGCACCAAGCATGGCTCATTTCAAAAGTGGTTTCATTTTAAATCAACAGCAGCTTGGGCAAAATCAATGAGCATCTTTGTTCCCTGAGTCTAGCCCTGAGATACTCAAGCCAATCAAGAAGGCATTTGGGATGTGAGAAATTATCTGGGGGTAGGGGGCAGTTAATGCAGCATCCTAGCAAGTTCTCTAAAAATATTTTTAATTCCTTTCCAAAGTAAAAACGCGAGGAATTCCATAATAGTTAAGTGCCTTTTTCTCTCTCCTTTTATGCTTTCTGCACACTGCGCCACGGCCTCTCTCTCCGAGGACAGCTCCTCTGACCCTAGTCTGACACTGCACCGTCAATGTCAGATAAACCATTTAGCCCAAGCACAATTCTTTTCTGTGCAAAAATCTGCTTGAGGTGGAAAATGTCGCAGTTTGTAAACAATAAAGAGCCATGTTTCAGACCAGACAGCTTATCTAACAGAGAAGTCCTTTCATGGGGAACAGTGGGTGGGAGCCTCCGGACATAGTAGCATTTCCTACCACAATGCAGGAGACTGTCTTGGCCTCCATATTTAAGGGTTTAATGGGAAGGAGGGCAGACGGGGTAAAGAACACAGCTGACATGGACTTTCAGCTTAAACAACAACTAAGTGAAGAGAGTCAGCTCTCTGAGCTCCGGCTGTGGACGCTCAGCCCACTTATATCTTAAATACTATTTGAACTGGGGGAAAAAAAAAAAAAAAACAACGAATTTGGTTTGTAAAACAGCTGCCCAGGAGGATGCACAAACAAGAATGATTCTTTGCTATCTTTGTATTGCTTGGTGTCTTCTGTTATATTAATTTATCAACTTGTTCTTTAGGAAAACATTTCTTCATGGACATAATATAAACTTCTAAATACGAGTAGTAATTTATTTATCCCATTTTATCCTCATCGAAGGATAGTTTTAGAATTCTTCAGGACAATTCTCTAAAATACTCTTTAGGTGTTACTTTTCAAGATGACTATTTTCAAGTTAATCTTTTACTTTATGAAGTTGGATAAGGATAAATAGAGAAAGGATAGTGTTAGACTTTAAAATTACTGCTATTGTCATTGAAGAATGTAATGTTGTTCTTTCAAATATAAGGTGACAAACATGTCTAGTCACCTGCATCTGCCTATCCTGGAAACAGGAAACACTGCATCTCATCATGACTCATTTTAAAAAGCTAGGATTCTGGCTTTAGCTACAGAGCTAAAACATAAAAGTTACCATTTTAAATTAAAAAAAAAAAAATAAGAAAATATAAGAACAACCCATGGTCAAATACAGCTTTGAGATCCTGATTCTCAAAGTTGGGATGACATTTAATCACCCATTAAAAATAAATTCCTAGTATTTCTCTGCTTTGACTACTGTGCATTTAATACCTGAAGTCCCTGTAGATGGATTTGACAGTGATTTCTGAAAAGATGACTCATACTCAAGAATGATCTACACCTTAAATAACAAGTATAGGGATGAATTGAGAGAGGAGCATTCAAACATACACTCTATCACATGTAAAATTAAATAGGCAGTGGAAATTTGCTGTATGACGCAGGGGGCTCAAACCCAATGCTCTGTGACGACCTAGGGGTGGGATGGGGTGGGAGGTGGGAAGAAGGTTAAAAGAGGAAGAGGATGTATGTGTACCTAAGGCTGATTCACATTGATATGTGGCAGAAACCAATACAATATTGTAAAGCAATTATCCTCCCATTAAAAATAAATTTAAAAAATTATAAATAACAGAACAAAGTTAACATTAATTTACAAAAGCAAGTATAGTGACCAAGGCTTAAAAATTACGACATTCCTCAGAAGCATCTGCAATTATGGTTTCAGAATGATATATGTATGGCTGCATGTCTTCCTTGGAGTATAGTTCAACAGCTTCTGCCAAGAAATTTAACCTCATTTATTGATGGATTCGCAACAGGATTTGGCCAAGTTGAGAAATTTACTAATACTGTTAATGCTCACATTTATTAGAACAAAGATCTTTTTTTTCCCAATCAAAACTAAAGTAACCAGCTATTGGGACCTTTTAAGTCATTATAAATTGTCTTTTCATTGCTCAAGATACTGCTTTTTTTTTTTTTAAATCCCTACAGGTAGTCAAAGCAGAAAAAATATGCTAAGAATTCCAACAGAAAAGACATGCTGGAAACACAAAGCCTGTCTCAAAGTACACATAGGTCACTTCATTAAGCAGGATGGGGACCTCCTAGATCATTAGCACTAAAGTTCACACCTTGATAATACACAACCAGACTTTACAATTCAACTTGAACATGCTACTCTGATTTAAGCACACTAAACCTATTATTACAGGAATTTCCATGACCCCTTTCATAAAAGTTCAAGCTAACACAGACTTTATCTCATTGCCACCTGATAGACTCAATGATATTATATATTTAAATATTCACCATTTTCACTTCATCAGCCTTAACCCTAAAAAACTACTGCTGCAACAATGAATTGGGAGAAGTGCTTTACATCTAAGGAACACAAATTTTCCATGTAGATTCAATATCACTGAAATTAGGTAATTCCACACAGTTGTAAAACTTAGTCCTGTATGCACTATTACCAAGCAAAGACCATCAATATTTTTCTGCAATTTAAAATTACTTTAGTGAACTAGCTAAATAGCTAAGTTCTTAAAAATAGAATCTGTGTCTGGGCTTGTATTCTACCTTTGATGGTAAAACATAAGCATTCCAAAAATTCATGTTAATTTAAAATTAGTCTTACTTTGTATTCTGGAATTGACAAAAGGTGGAGAGAGATTGTCATGTGACCCAAGGTCCCTGCTGGTCATGTGGTCATAGGGAGTCCCATCTCCATAGTTCTGTAAATAAAATAACAGCGTAAGTTTAAATTTGCCATGAATCAATCAGCACCTAAGTCTGACTACTGACACCTCTCTGACCCAAAGAAATTGGAGCCCACCATTCTCACCCCGGCACCTTATTATAAGAAAGCTGCATCTTCCCAGGTACAGTGTATAAGAAGGGCTCTAAAATTTGCAGAGTTCATATTTTCCCCGAAATCATAGTGAAACTTGGGGGAATAATAATAGTGGAGCCAACTGCATCACGATATTATGATCAAATGAAATAATGCAAGTAAAACACCTGATACCTATAAAATATATTGTAAATAGTAATTATTATTTTGATAAGCCCACATTATTTTTTTAAAAAAGAGAGCAAATGTGCTATGGGAAAGTTACTCATAACCTGCAATGAACTGCCTTTGGAAGGCAAAGGCAGACCTTGTAAACAGCAGCATTTGGTTTTATGATATTGAAATTTCAGTGTTTTGTTATAGATGTTATTGTGGTTGTAAAAGAATTGGATCATTCCGTAAGAAACCAGCTACACGAGAATGTTAAAATTATTACAACAGGACTGTTGTAATCAGAATTTAAGCATAAATTCTGGATTTGGACAAAGTATGCCACAAAAAAAACAGTTTTAAAGCAGACGCTAATCTTTGGAAATTTGTAATGACTATGATCGTCTCATAATTCAAAGGAGAATTTTAACTTAAAATAAGGTTTTTAAACTGCCCAGTCACTTGCTTTTAATGGAGGAGTTAGGTAACATACAGGAAAGAGTTAAAATCATCTAAATCATAGGGTTCAAATTTTAGGTTACTAAGGTACATAAAGTGACCAGAAAGGAAAAAAAAAAAAAATGTCATGCTGCTCAGCTGGTTGCACTGCCCATAAAGACTAAGTCAAATTTACTCAGAGGTATCAGTTGGTATGCTAGCTAAAGGGCAGAATCCTCCCCCATGAAAAGGATGGATACTGTATGAAAAATGAAAACGCACATCCCTTCACTAAAGAAGTGACAGGAACTACCCCATTTTCAACTGCCTTTCCTCAGCTATAAAAAAAATAACTTGAATGATACTGTGATGGGATGCTGCCAGTACATCAGGGAATAAAAGGATGTCACATTTTAAATACCTATCGTTGCTCTTACACTCACTCATTCTATACCAGACATTGGTATACTAATTATCGTTTATTCAGTATCCTCACCCTACAGAGTTATTAAGAGCTTAGTATACATTATCTAATTTAAAACCCAGCACAGTGTTTCAAGATGACTGGAAATATCACCACTTGAAGATGAGAAAAAAGAGACACCTGGCCCCTGGCTGTCTGATACAAGCCAGCCACAATAAGCTGTCTCATGCCAGCTCGCTGCATTTAAAAAATACAAATTACAAAATATTGAGTCAAAGTCATCCATTAATGAATTCCCTGGAAAAAAAAAAAAGTCCAGACGATTCATGAAAGCCAAATAAAAGTCAGGACGATCCTAAATGAACCTCCCTCTCAGAAGACCAATTAAAAGAACTACATGTTGTATTAAAACGAGAAAGCAGAAGACATTAAGTTCATGTGAGTGAACTCAACAGTAAGAGGGACATTCTGTTGTCTCCCACACTTGCTGTTAAGGGGAATGGACTGATTCCTGCAAGTGAGGACTGTAATGTGAGGAGGAGGAAAGATTTCCTCAACCCATCCATATAATGCAGGAGAATCTGAAACTCAACAGCTGGTGCAAAGTCTCAGCGAAGTTCCTGGTAAGCCTAGAGCTCTGGCTGTACCGAGACCAGCGCATGAGCCCCAAGGCCAAAGAACAGGTGGAAATGGCCAGCACGGCTTGCTGAGAAGGCCTCCTTCAGACAGCCTGATTACCTTCCTTACCTCTTATGCCAAAATACAGGCCACCCTCCACCCCAAATGTGTCCCCCCACTCCCCGGCCCTGCAGAACGTCTCATCTATCTACACAACTGCTTGGGGGAGGGGCAGCTCTTTTGTGTGGTCTATGTCTACTGTTAATCTGGAGTTATATGTATTACTATAAAAACTGATAGGGCTTTCCAAAGGCCTAGCGATGACTCCATTAAAGACAGATTATATAAAATCATTCACATTTGAGTTAGAAGGAACAGGAAAGATCCTCTGATTCAACTTCTTCATTTTAGAAAGTAGCAGTATGAGGCCCAAGGAAGTGAAATGACACACCCAAGGTCATACACATACAAAGACACGCATGGCCTAACCACCCCACTCACACCCCAGGCCATGGTCTTCCCATGACACCCTAACAACCTAAAACCTTAAAGAGGAGCAGAAAAAAATCTGCAGCAATTAAGACACGATTAAGACATTAAGCAACTTTTTTTCCAAATGACTCTGCGCCGTGGTCTGTAAAATACAAGACTGACTTAAGGAACACTGATAAATGAGCAAGTCCAAAGAATAAGACTGAGTCTAAATCAGATCGTATCCATTTACTTTGAAGTTTAAGGATTTGGGGTTGTGTGTGTTTTAAAAATAAAAGCTACTTTCAATTAAAAAAAAAAATTAAATGAACGAACCCACTGGCGACCAAAGGTACTAGTGGTGGTGAGACAATCACATGTTTACAAAGTGAAACCAACACAGATTTATTATGCAAATGATACTGGAAGCTACAACTTCACAGCCTGTCTTCAGAAATATTCAGTGGCCTACTCACACCAATATATTACAGGGACACAGGGATCTTTTTTTTTCAAAGTTGCACCATCTACAAAAAACAACTTTCTGTTAACACTGGATCAGTAACTGGCAAAGCGAGGCCAAATATTTAATGAAGGGGTTGTCTTCTGGTTAGCCAAAGTAGAAGGGGTGTCAAAATCAATAATAATATCCAATAAGAGCATGAAGAAAATGCCAAACAGAAGCTGATCCTCATTAAACTCAGTCCGCATATACAGCCGTGCAGACGCGTGTTGCAGAGAAAAAACTCACCTTCAGTTTGCCAATTTACATATGAGGATGTCTGCTTGTGGGGAGAAGATTAGATATACTTACCCTGGACGGGCTTGGATGTCCTCCACTCCCCCAGGACCCTGAGCTACTTCTGTCTTCTACATCTAGGGACAAGAGAAAAATTCTTTAGGCTTTCTTGCAATAATTCTTTCTTTTTGTATATGCACTTTTAAATTAATGTTTCAAATTAATCTCCTGTTGCCTTTAATTAAGAATCAGGCACGAGGCTACCATGATGATAGTAGCTTCTGACCCAACTACTTAAATTAACTCATTTAAATTCACAGCAGAAACGAACTGGACCCTCAGGAACCAGAGGTATGAACATAAAAATTACTTCCATCCTTCACAATGTTTCATAGCCTCAACTTTTATCAACCTGAAATTGCACTTAAAATCTTACTAAAATCTTTTGGACAGGTTAAAACTACACTAACACAACCTTAATATACACACATACACAAAAGTTAAATCAGGTAAATATCCATACTAGTAATATTATTATTAGCAGCATGCATGCCATAATGCTCCTAGATACTTTCTGTCCTCTTACCCGCTCAGACAAGCCACTCAAGGCCTACCCACCAGACAACAGACATGCAACAAAACATGTAAGATGAAAAAGGACATTAACAGTCTATTTCCATCAAGACATTACAATGATATTAGGAGACTTTTTAAGTTTCTTAGGACCATACCATCTCAGTCTTTTATTTTTTTAAATAGGCACAACACTTGGCCTACAATTCTTAATCGGGACAGTGAGTTGTGGACACAAATGTTGTTAAAGCAATGTTTTATTTTGATAAATTATGGCGAAATGACCTATATGAACTCCCAGAAGGCTGGAATTCTCTAGGCCCTGTACTAGCGAAGTTCTAATGCTGACCAAATTCGAGACGCTTCTTCAGTGCTTCAGGTGACAAATATGCAGGATGGGGAGTCTTACAGCTTAAGTTCCCATGTTCACTGTTCAAAACATAAAAGTGCTCAAAAGATCAGTCACTCTAAATTTAGAAATGGCTTTGAGATTTTTGATGAAAGGCCCTTTCTGAGTATAAAAAGTCTCACTGTTCTATTATCTTGATCACGGTGGGTAACATACGGCCATCACAAGCTTCCTCTGACAGGACTGGAGGAGGAGGTGTGAAACCAGATCAGGAGATGTACTCCCATTGACTGTTTTCTAACGTTTCAGTGATACTGTTTCTTAACGCACTACTGTCCTTCCTTTAATTACTCCTATTTTATCATCAGCAGAAGTAATCATAGTATAATTAACTGACTTATTTGGGGGTCCGGTAGAGGACATGGTGTTTTAGAATATATTAAGAGATGGACTAGAAACAACCACCAACAACTAGGACCACTAAACTTGAAATCTTTTTTTAAACAAATATCGTTTCATTTACTTTGGTCAGTTTGTCTGAAGAGAATGCAAATGCAAACAGCTATCCCCTGTGGACAGCTAAAATCAGTGCCTGCAAGGGACTTCCCTGACGGTCCAGTGTTTAAGACTGCACTTCCACTGCAGAAGGCAAGCACTGGATCCGTGGTCAGGGAACTAAGATCCCGCATGCTGCGTGGTGCAGCCAAAAATAGAAAAGAAAATGAAATTTTACAGAAAATTTTCAATAAATAAAATCAGTGACTGTGAGTGTTAAGAGATGTCATGCAAGCTCTGAAGAGGAAGTCTGGAGAAAAAGTATAATACTTTCCCCAAATTTGCTGTTTAACAACCCAACCTCCTGGCCCACCTACTGTAAGCTGAATTGGGGGATGTATATAGAAAAGAGACTTAGAACTCTTGGGACCGTCACACAAGTAAGTTTTGTAGCCTGCCTGGTTCTCATCATCCTTAACACCAAATCAAATTTATTTTCACACACAAAAAAGGTATAAATGACAAAAATCTATCAACCAGAAGTCTGCACATCTTGATTTCCTTCTCGCCTGAAACAGCCAACCTGGATTAATAGAGAGATTTTTCCTCTTAAACTTGGCCCCAAAAGTAATGAAGGAACAGAAGTGAATCTATACGTCTACCCTATGATTTTGTTTTGTTTGGACCCATTTTATCCATTTTCAAAAAGGATTTCAAACATGAAACAAAGGCAGACACAAGGAGGAAAGGGAACAGTAGTACTTCTTGGCCAGTAGTTTTGCCCTAGGGGTGATTATGGTCCCCAGAGGGCATCTGGCATGTCTGGAGACATTTTCAGTTGTCACAACTTGGCAGGGCATGGAGGCGGGGTACAGCTAGTGGCATCAAGTGGTTAGAGGCCAGGAACGCTGCTGAAGGTTTTATACATGTCAGAATACCTGCACAACACAAAATATCCTGGTCTCAAATGTCAACTGTGCCAAGGTTGAGAAGTCCTCTTCTAGAGGACAAATTCTATTAAGAGCAAAAAGGAAGAATCAAGCTGGAAAAAAAAAAGATGTACTAGAATTCAATTTAAAATGAATACAACCTGTTACTAAATACACAGTGAAGTTATCTGAGCCCAGATTTAAGCCGAAGTGTTTCAAGAGACCTTCCTATACATCTTCTGTCCACAGAATAAAGGGAAAATGATGGTCAACCAAGCAGGCTGCTAATTAGCAGGCAAATAAAACACATCAAAACTTGAGTATTCCCAACTGGGCAATTTCAAAAGCGAGCAATCCACTAATTAAAAAACACTGGAAGTCTAGCTTTTTCAAAACAGGTTAAATACTGGCTGGGTTCCTTCATAAATAGATTCCCACCCAATCAAATCTGACTGCTCTTTTCCCATTCTTTCCCATTTCCATCCTCCTCATTTCCTGACCTCATGCTGCTGTACCTTCTTTTAGTCTTCCTTCCTTTTATTGCTCTTTTTAACAGGCTTTTCGTTCAGTGGCCTCCTGCAAATTGAGAAGGTAAGGACAGCTCTCTTGCCCTCCGAGACTTAACAGAACAATCGTATGACTTCTGATATTTTATATTTGAAAGAATATCTGTACAGCGGGTGCTCCTTGATCCAGGGCAAGAAGACTCAAAACTACAGTACCCAACGAATGTAAACATGTTCTTTTTAAGATATTCGTTTCCATCTTCCCTTCCACTGAGCTTCATGAGACCTGCCAGTAAGTCAGCAAGCATTTCCTCAAAGTGCGCCTGAGGACTGCCTATGTCTGGATCACCTGGTATGCTCATTTCAAAATTAGCATCCTAGGGTCCACTGCAGACCTACTGATCCTGGATCTCTGAAGGTGGGGCCAAGAAAATTGTGTATTTAACAAGGTCTTCAGGTAATTTTCGTGTACACAGGAGCTTTGAGAACCACCAGCCTCCTCCACTGGAAACACAAGACAGATGCATGCCCTACCACACCACCCACTGCCTACCTCACATCCTGTCCTAAAGTCCTTGGCCAGGTGGCCGGTTTCTGCAGCATTCAGTCCATATTCCCATCGCATCTACATCCCAGTAGTTCTTGCCCAGACTCACTTTTATGTAAGCCTTGTATGTGGCCTACATGTGGCCATCCCCTGCTCCCAGCTGGTGTACCTGGGCACCGCACACACGTTCTACCTCCAGGTATTCCTACCTGCTATTCCTTCTGCCTGAGCTGTTTCTTATCTCTCAAAAAATAATATTAGCTAATATTCTGTGAGCTTAAACATGCCAGGCACTGTGCCAAGCGCTTCAATACACTAACAGTATCACCATTTTATCTAGGAGGAAACTGAGGCTTAAACGGGACAGAAAACCCTCTCAACATGACAGCAGATGGCAGAGCTGGCAGACACAGGGGCTGACCATGTTCAAGTCAGGAACGTTCTCCACCATGGTCAAGGTCTCCCCAATAAGCAGCTCAAGTCTCTCTACAACCAGCTCGAACATAACTGCCAGTCCCTTCTTACCATGGATGTATTTACTTTTGGAGTTTATATCCACTCTTGTGTCCACAAAAGATTATAGAATGACTACAACACAAATATATAAACCCAGGTCTCATGCACTGCAGACAGATTCTTTACCATCTGAGCCACCAGGGAAGCCCCAGTCTTGTGTCCACAGAAGATCACTGAATGTATACAACACAGATACATAAACTGAAATATCTGAAGGAATCAAAGAGACTGGAAAATAAAAACAGGAGAACAATCAAGCCATATGTACAATGAGCTTATCAAAAATGTACACTGTGGGAGTTCCCTGGTGGTCCAGTGGCCAAGACTTCGTGCTCCCAATTCGGAGGACCCAGGTTCAATCCCTGGTCGGAGAATCAGATCCCACACATCATGTCTCACAACTAAGAGTTCAAATGTCATAACTGAAGATCATATATACCACAACTACTGGACCCAGTGCAGTCAAATAAATAAATATTAAAAAAAAAACTTAAAACATACACTGTGATGGATGGGATATTTGTGAGAGAGGGGTCAAAATTCCAGTGGGCAGAGAGTAAAACAAGATTCATAGCCTTGGATAAAAATACCCAAACTGTTCAGTAAAGTCATTAAGGCAACATAGTTACAAATGAAAAACTGCCCAAGACAACCCAGTTCTCATGTCTCCCTTGTTGCTGTCATCCTCTATCCAAGACAGGAACACATAAGAGAAAGACAACCACCTGGACGGAAGGAGGCGAAGGAAAAAGGAAAGTGGATGACAGAAATTATTCTTCCGAAGACTGAAGTGGGTTCAACTGTTTCTAATTTATTTTACCCTAGACAAGGACAGACTGAGTAACGTCCATGGTTTTGACAGTTGCTTTAGGAGGCAATCTGACCATCTACAAATTTTCATTTCACTTGAGTAGTTCTGCATAAGCCCCCTCTAAAATGCCTGACATTTCAGCACTAAAACACAAAAGCAAAGTGTGGGTATAATGAGGATCAAACACTCTATTTAGAGAAAAGATATACAGAGATGAATTTTAAAGTCTACAATTTCCCATCCATACTCATTGATTATTCAAATTTCCACTCTATGTGGACAGTGAGATCAAAACTATCAGTAGACTGGACAAATGTCAGAAAGCGCAGAGCTGGAAAAAAGACCTAGATTTCAGCCACAAGACTGCATTAACCAGCTCTACGGTATGAGCCAGTCACTAGACTCTTTGAA